TTTTGTCTCTGAATGTGTCTACGCATGCCTAAAGACATATAGACAACATTTATGTACAAAATAATCTTATGGGCTTAATTGTCAATTTGATCCTTAGCTTATTTAAGTTTTAAATTTGGTATTGTAGTATGATTAATGGGGGTCTTGAATTGAATATCGATTCTATGACTGTATTTCTCTGCTACAATTTCGGTTTAGAACTAAAATGAGTATTAAAATCTGATCAGACTTATCTAATACTCATCATAAATGATTACTCGGCCAAGTGGGAGAATGTTGGACACGTTTTTATTATGTGGCCTGAGTTATCATTTATCTAATTAATTGATCATTGACCTAATAAATAACCTACGTGTTTATTTGATAATTATTCGATGGACGTAATTACCCTTATGACCTAATTAGGGTTTCCCCTTGGGTGTATATAAATAGAGGTATTAGGCAGAGATCGACACACCAATCTTACGCCTCCTCTCTGCCTCTCTATTCTCGTGAGTCTCATCCTCACCTTAGCCATCATAACGATACACCCTAAAAGGGAACTCGATCTGCGTGAGAATCATGACATCATCCCTAACTACGTTTACAGGATTATCAGGTACACATGATTAAATCCCTAATTTATATTTTATGTTTAAGAATTGATCAACATTGGCCTTAGGCTAAGAATAAGTTTAAGAGTCTGGTTATGAAAATATGGATTTCGCCTTAGACTAAAAATAGTTAAGAACGTTGTTATGATTTGGCTTTAGACTAAGAATTGCTAAGAGTATTGTTATGATCTAGCCTTAGACTAAGAATAGTTTAGAGCGTTATTATTATTGGCCTTAGATTAAGAATAATTTAAGAGCAATGTCGGAATAATGAATATTGAATATCTGAATTGAATAACATGTGTTGATATGAACTGAACAATATCAAAATAATGATTGATGAATATTTGAATTGAACATTATGTGGATGATATCAAATGATTTGATTATGAATTGAGATTCAATTTATATGCATGTTCGACGCATTAGATATCCTTACTCAGCTTTAACGCTGAGTGTGTAGTATGTTTTATTTGTTACACGCTGGTAAATAGAAAGAATGATGTGACGTGATCCTGGAGGCAGACGGAGGCGAGATGGTCGAGATGGATGTGATGGTTTTGAATGGAAGGACATAAATAAATTATGTTTTGTGATTGTGATTTGTTAAGCTTCCGCAACATTTTAAACTCTATACTGTTTATGTTATGAAAAATATTATTGTGTTAAATAAAAGTGTTTGAAATGTTTTAAATTTTTACGATTACCAAGTTAATACTTTATTCCGACAGGGGCTGCAGAACTAGATGGATTAAGGTGTTATAATCTGGCCGACGAGCGTATATGTGACGTTCTATTTAGCTTTCTCGTGTACATGTTACATTCCATATAACTTCCAAATTAATTTATAACTTCTCATATACATCATTAACTTTGTACATGATGTTCTAGTTTTTTAAAATTATATTTTCTTTATACAACAATATCATATTTTAATATTTACAAAAACTTTTTAAACCAAACTATCAATTACTTTTTGAATATTTCTCTTTATTGTATTTTAAAAGGCAACGTTTCTTATTTATTTAAATTTAAAATATCTAAAATCTTTTGGAGTTAGAATTTTAATAGATAAATAAACATGATATTGCATAAACCTCTCTTCTAAAATATACTTAGATAACTTATAAAAACTCATTACACGTATCAATAATACTTGATAATGATGATGATTGTAGTAGTAATAATAAGAATACGTATATTTTAGAATTTATATTTTAGAAAGTTTCTCATAAATCTTTATTTTTATATTAAACAATTATTAAAATGTTATTTCTATCATGTTTAAAATATGAAGTATCTTATAAATTATACTTTTTTCAAAATGCTAAAAGTAAAAGTAAAATCTTATAGAAAGCACGATTTAAAAATAAAATTAAAATATTCTCCATAAAATATCCTCCGTATTTTCATTACAAGAAAAAAATTTGACTTATGTGTTAAATACAAAGTTAATCAAGTATTTCCTCCATCCTAAAACTATCTTCCCAGTTACTATTCACACGGTCAAACTTAAATCACTTTTTTACATATTTTTTATAGTTATTTGATAAAATGATATAGTCTTGTCACCTCTTGTTTTGTAGAACTTTTGATGTGGGTTTTAAATATATAAGTTTTATTTTTTATTTTACACCTACAATCAAATACATTGAAAATAAAGTCAGTCAAACCTCGTAAACACAAACAAAAAGATAGTTTTAGGACGGATGGAGTAATAGATAAATTACGAGTCAATATGGAAGCCATATGGAATGTGACATGTACACCAGAAAACTAAGTAGAACGCTACATGTACGCTCGCCGGCCGAATTCTTGAAATTCCGGCAAGGGGTACCTTTGTTACATTTTTTAAAGATGGTGTACCTCCTAAAAAGCCCCAATTTCTCTATGCTTTATTAAGTTGCGTATTTTGAAAAAAAAAAAGATATTTAATTATTCAGTATAATACAGAGTATTTTGTTTTAATTTTGTTTTAACAGTTTAAAAAATAATATACATCAATAACAAATAATCTAAAATGTTAGCTCTAATTATAAATATTATTTTCAAACAAGAGCTATATTTCAAAATAAGAAGGAAAAAATTGTTACGGAGTACATTATAAATCAATCCTTCATGTTGACATTACTCACTCAAACTGTATGCACTATTATTGTATTCAGGGGCGGAGGAGATGGGGGGCTTCCTGGGCAAGTGCCCCGGCGAATTTCCAGCGAAGTGCTACTACCTCCGTCCCACTCTTTTTGTCCAGTTTTGACTTTTGGAACTGTTCATCTAAGCACTTTGACTCATCAAATTCTCTCAATGTGTAAGTCTAAAAATAGTCATGTGTGATCTTGTTTGATTTGTCTTAACATATAGATTATTAATATAAAATTTTTATAATTTTTTAATATACAAATTACAAGATAAAATGGATTAAAGAAGTGCATTGGATGGTGTGCAAAAATGAAAGTGGACAAAAAGAGTAGGACGGAGGGAGTATTAGGTACCCCTTCTCCAATGGTAGCGTTGATGTGCCCCCCAGTTTTTTCCGGCAACAAGCAGGGCGCTGTGTGGCGACTGTGCTCTGCGAAGAAGAAGCAGTTTACAGGGGAAAAAAAGGAAGGGAAACGACGTCGTAGCTTTTTTTAATGCCTAGGTTTTAGGTTTTTTTTAAATGCCTAGGAGTCTAGGCGACTTCACTAGTACCCATTCCTTTTTTTGGATCTACACGACTTCACTAGTACACTTTAAAACAAAAGGGAAACCCAATTAGGGGCAATTACCCAAATCGAGAAGTCTAAAAAAAAGTAGAAACCCATCTTCCCCAATAATGACTTTTTATTCATTACGGAGTAAATATTTATTCATGTGTTTTTTGAGAGATAATTAAGTCTATTAAATATTCAATTACTTAGTTTTGTGTTCAATTAATAATATTTTTATTTTATTAATAAAGGTCTACGTAAATACACCTCTAATCTAATTGGGTTATTATTGTTGTTGTTATTTTATTGTAAGAATTACTCCATATAATTTCGAACAAATTTGTTACTTAGTAATAAATAGTTAATTAACCAAATTGTTATTTTGAAAAAGAACTAACATTTTGTATAATTCATAATAATACGGAGTAACATTTATTGTTATATTTTTTGTGAATAATTTGATTCTTTGAAATAAATTTTTTAAATCAATTTTTGTTGTTTTATTAAAAAAAACCAGGGTCGCTGCCCCCGGACTCCCGAGGTGTGCCCCCCCCCCCAATTTTGACCTCCTAGCTCCGCCATTGATTGTATTAATTAAATAAAAACTACATTACGTTTTATTACAATGACATGAGTTTTTGAAAATAATTTATGAGTTAAATATTATAAAATCGTTTTGGCACTAATACACATTCTCATTTTTATTTAATTAGCTACCAGAATTCTTTTTTTTTTTTTTGCAATGCAAAAACTCAAACTGAAGGAATATTATGTGACTAGAGTAGTTTTTTTCAAATTGACTTTTCTCGACTCTCCAAAACATTTTCTAAGAGCACTGGTAATGCATGTAACGCCCAGTGGCGTGACTGCACTTTTAACGCCCCAGGGGCGTTAAACACCGCCCCCCTGGAGCTTTATCCGGGCGTGATTTTGATTGCGTTAAACCTTTAACGGGCGTTTTGCCCATCTTCATCAAATTAAAAAAAAAAACTCTTCCTATAAACACCCACAAAATATTTTCCTCTTCAATTTATTCTTTTTAAAAATAAACCTCACAAACAAAATCTTTCTTCTTCAATTATTTTTAAAAAAATTAAACACCCACAAAATCTTTTCCTCTATCTTCTTCAAATTTAAAAAAAATATTCAATTTTTTTCATCTTTTTTAACATGAATGTCTTCATTTTTTATGTTCATTTGTCCGGTCTCGAGTCAAATGACCAATTGAATATAATCTACTTTAGAAAGAAGACATAACGAGATCAAAGCTTAATATAATTTGTTTTAAGTATTTAATTAATGTAATTTTTTAATTAAATGTTCTTTTTTTGTTGAAGTTAATTATTTTCATTTAATGAATTATTGTCGTTTAAATTAATGTCACTTTCTTTTTTTAATTTAATGAATGTAATTTTTTAAAATTATTTTCGTTTCAATTTCTTTAAATTTAATGAATGTATTTTTTTATTATTCTTGTTTCAATATAATGAAAAATTTAAATTTTATTAATTTAGTTTTAGAATATGTATATTTAAAAATGTAAAAAATGAAGGTTTGAAGCCCCAGTTTGAAGCCCCGGGGCTTCAAACCCATTTCCACTGAATCTGTGAGGTAAGTTAAAGCTGACGTGGCAGAGAGAAAAATTTTGAAGCCCCGGTTTGAAGCCCCGGGGCTTCACGGGTATTTCCAGTGCTCTAAGTATCAAAACATAATTATTTTGGCATTTCAATTTTTTTAAATGCAAAGTTAGTGATTTTGGGGGTTCTTCAATTTTTGAGATATAAATTAGATGTTTTTCGTTATAATTACTTGAATAGTTCTTTTTATAGCATTTTCTTTTAAAAAAAAAAACACTGCCCCGAACCCCTGTCCAGTTTCCATCCCTGAGAGGAATTCATGGACACAACCCCAATCAAATTCCACTATGGAAGAAATATATTTTCCAATTTGTATTTTAAATCTAAATATTTTTTTAATCTAAATATTTTTTTGGATGACTTTTCAAAAAAGCTAAAGTTATTAATGCAAAACAAACTCCAAGTACTCGAAGGGCGTTTGGTTTTCAGTTAATATGAGATTGTCTTGGTAATGTTAAGAAGATTATGTTAATACTACCTCCGTCCCAGAGTATTTGTCCACTTTCATTTTTACACATCATCCAATACACTTCTTTAATCCATTTTATCTTGTAATTTGTATATTAAAAAATTATAGAAATTAATATGTTAAGACAAATCAAACAAGATCACACATGACTATATTTAGGCTTACATATTGAGAGAATTTGATGAGTCAAAGTGCTTTGATGAGCAATTTCAAAAGTCAAAACTGGACGAATACTCCGAGACGGAGGGAGTACTTGCAAGTCAAAAAAAATCACATGTGCAAACTAAAACCCAAAATCTAAATGCCATCTACCATATATCCACGTAGAGTAAAAAAACACAGCGCAAGGCACGAAATGAGCTAAAATCAATTCAAAAGTTAGAGTACATTCTTATAATGTCACACACAGTATAATCCCCCACCATAAAAATGAAAAGAAAAAGAAACTGTACACCTGTAGTTCTGATCAAGAAAACCTGAAACTAAACTGGTTTAAACAATCTAATATTTGACCCTGCATAGAAGCTTTTAAACCTCCTTACCATTGGTGTAAAGAATGCGGCGTAAATGGAAGCCTTCACCTTGATCCCCATTCATGGCACGTCTCTCGAGGAAGCAAGCCGTTAATTGCCTGAGAAGCCTTTCTAGACATGAGTGCAAGCAAGCTCTTTGGTCAGTAGTAGCCTTAGGGTTTTGAGATAAGATCACAGCGTTTACTGCATCTGCCACAATCTCTCTCTGCGTGTCTCCTAGTAGGTATCCGGCCGGGCACTTCAACGGTTGCTCGAATGCCAGCAAAGTAGCACAATCCTACAGGTGTATGTGTCTTTGTGTGTAAGACAAAATGATAAATACCACCTAGATACAACCGTAGATACAAGAATTTTGTATATTCACGTGAGTTAATGAATGAAACCTTTTTGTTTAGTGAGCATTTCAGTTCTTTGGAGTGTAATGGCAGTGCACGTAATGGTCAACTCATTTGTGATTATTGAACATGTAACTTTCATTTAGTGAGCAAATAGTTTATGATTAGTGAGCATATAAGTCTCTATTGAGAAATGGTTGCATGGTACTCCTGTGGGCTGTAGCTACGATTGTACAATAGAATTACTCACCTTAACTAAGTCCTCAAATTCTGTAAATCTAATAAATTTGTGAAATTTACTTCTGCCATGATTTACAGCTTCTTCCAGCTTCCCAGCCTGTTAAAGGAAATTCCAAACTTCAGATTGCTCAGGCTTATAGCAGCTCAAATGCAAAAGAACTAATATACGACTATACGAAACATGAATAAATCCAATTGTTCAGTCTGATAGCAATTAGCATCAAAGTGGTGAAATATGCAGTCCAGAATAAAAAGCAAATTGAAACATTATGAAATTTTATTTACCCGTGCTAACTCAATAAACTTTTGACAGTGAAGCAGAAAGCAAATAGCTGATGAACCATCCTGCAGATGCAAAACATATCCTGTTAGAGTTTTACACAGATATGCATCCAAAGTGTAGAATCTTAAATACTCCAATGAAAATGTTGGAACATGGAATGTTAACCCTTTTAAAGAAAATAATTAAGGAGATGTTTTTGGTAAGATGAGGTTAAGCAATGAAATGTAGAGGTAAACCAATCACCTGAACAAGACTAGGGTACCAATCTTGAAGTTTACGAAAAGCATCATCTATCTGTCCACTTCTAATTAGCTGTTTTAGAAATAGAAGCACAGTGAGCAATATTTTTCTGAATCCCCCCCCCCCCGCGCGTGGAAATAAATGAAATAGTCAAATAGAAAGTTTTCACATTTGTAACATTGTCATTCACATACATTTAATATTTAAAAAATAAAACCATACTCATGTTGTACCTGGCGAAGAATCTTCCTATGGTTTAATGCATACATGCTATCCTCCTCAGGACCATTTTCTTGTACAAATGAGATAGGTGGAATAGTGCTTTTACTTGCAATATCAAACATTTGAAGGGTGTCTTCGTAGCCATAATGTTGCAAGTAGGAGCGAACAATTCTGACAAATGTAATAAACCTGCTGGTGAAACATAATTTCTTCGACAAATAGCAATTTTGTACGAATTGGATAATGGTCATGCTACTTCTTAAGAGTTAAGACTAATAACCTACTCCGGAGTATTATAAGTTTCAACCTACGAACAAAGAATCTGATGATATATTAAAACTGTACAAGAAACTGATATGAATAAAGTATTTTCGTAACTATTATTCTTATTCATTTAGCAAACTCCAAACATGGTTTAAAGGAAGACAATAACAAATCACATTTCACTTGTTCCAGGCACTGTGCAAGCAGATTATTATATACTTACTATAAGCATCTCTAGTCCTAATGGAAAGGGGTAGACGCAAGGTCACTCTGACAGCATACATCTCACCCTCCAAAAACCATACTTCCGAATGAGACATATTGCGTATGTTTGATTTGGTTTGGTTAATTGGATACGCATTTCTTCTCGTGCCTAATAGTTGTTCCTTAGCAGCATGGAAAAACTTTAAGTTGACCCTTTGAATATTCATGAGTCATGACATGAGTTCACATAACTTCACCCAAGTGGATGATCAGTTCAAAAATTATGGACAGATAGCTTTAGTGAAGATCAGATTTCAAGAATTGTGAACAAATAGCTCGCACTTACCCGTGACTGGCATTCTGGGGTAAAGTTATTTTTTCGAGTGTTGCTTGTTGTTTGGCTCTCTCCTGAGCTTCATATGCCTGGGCAACATATAGTAAAAGTGTAAAACTAAATACTGTATCTTTTGTACTCTTGTAGAACTAGATATTGTACGGAGTATTTCATAATGGGCCTTTTACATTCCCCTGCTTAGCACCACCACCAGATTGATAGTACTCCATCTGCTTCCTACTTGTCTGTGCTTCTATTTACCTATCTAGGTTGACCTAGTTCCATTGTTCTGTTTTATAATATGTCCAACTTTGAAATATATTCACATTTAATAGTCTTTTCCAATTTAACCTTCTTATACTATTCAGTTAACCATTTTTTCAAAAATAAACATAAATAGGAGAGTAGCTTATGATGAAGGAACTTTAGATTAATCAGTACTCCGTAATATTTTTTATTAACTTAATTACCCGATTACATTTTCTTAAACTGTGTGTTTTGTAGTAGTAGGAACATGGGGAGTATACTCTTAGTTTTTGTTATTAAAAAACATGAATTATAGGAAACCTGAATGAATGGTTGGTCATCAGAATATCAACAAATTGATAAGAAAATGCATGAAAATATTAAAATAAGGTTATTAGATGTGTGTATCTAATGTATATGCAGGTAGCTTCTTAGCATATACAAAAGAATATGTGCGCAAAAAATTAGTAATTTAACCTAGTATTATGAGAGATGAAATACTTACCTTTAGATCGAATACAAATGGATCCTTTCCGAAGTTCACCGAAACCCTGAAAAGGTAGCATCAACATGGGAGTAGAAGGTCAAATATATACACTGATGAGCTAGTTTTAGCCTAAGGGGCTGTTTGTTTCAGCCTCTTAATGGTTCAGATGTCTGAATGGTTTAGCACTTAATGGTTCAGACTGTTTGTTTCAGCCTCTTAATGGTTCAGATGTCTGAATGGTTCAGCACTTAATGGTTCAGACTGTTTGTTTCAGCCTCTTAATGGTTCAGATGTCTCAGACATTTGCCTCTGAATAGTTAAGTATTATACAGATTGTGAATGGTTAAGACCTCTTATCTGAATTGATCAGACATTTGCCTCTGAATAGTTAAGCAATATACTAGCTCTTAATGGTTCAGACCTCTTACTGGTTCAGCACTTAATGGTTCACTTACTGGTTCAGCACTTACCTATTCAGAAGTTGCCAAACAGCCCCTAAGTTTCTCAACCCATTAAACTATGCTGTGAGAGCTTAGAGTTCTACCATTAAGTAGACAATGAGTCATGTTAACTACGTAGTATGTAGAATGAAATAGCAGAGCAATGGTACGTGTGAGAAACACAATGTATAGTGTACTCCGTATTATTAGATGCATATTGTCAACGTCAGTTCACATACAAAATGATAGGGAAATAAACTGCCTCCAAGAAAGTTCCATATAAAAAATAGAATTTGAGTATGACTATTAACCAATGGGATCAAATGAACAGAGTCCACTGGAGTTTCCATGAACTCCAAAACTATGCCATGTTCACAAAACCCAATTACCCCATAAAAGTCATTCAAAATGGATACCTCCATAAAATCAATCAGAGAATATGTATGAGAGAGCAATGCAGAGTTTAGAATCCAGAGGGAGAACATTGAAAATGATGTAATTGTATAATACATACAAAGTATTCAAAAGATAAGTGAGCCAATTAGGATTTAGGGCTAACAAGTAAGAAACCATTCACATGAATGTTCTACATACTCTTCATTTTGACTGTGAACAGCTACGGTTGGAAATAATGGTGCTTTTACATCCTTCGAAACTGTTCCTACTATTGTCCCGTTTTTCCTGCCACCAGAAATAAACAAAATACATATATGTGAAAGGCTGAGAAAGTACATACGGAGTATAAAGGAAGCATTACGAAATAGCTAGTTAATATATTCAGAAAATATCATTGAAGCATTGAAACAATCATCTCATTAAGCTATAGCCATTGTGAACCAATTGTCCCAAAAAGTTTAAAGGTCAAACATTAGTCATATTCAAATTGGCTTCTACCAATGAAAAGAGTAAGACATGGTCTTACGTGAAAAAGAGTTCCTGTGATGCATAATTAATGCCCCCACCAATAGTATCACCGGCTGTATAAGTTGGGCCAAACACCTCCCCCTTCCCGTGCCCACGATAAAGCAGCCCATCATCACCATGATACCCATAACTGTTTGCTTCCCAACTGCAAATGAAGGCCTATTGTAATAAAACCACAAAGGAGAAAGGCAAACCAAATGCTAACCACTCGGACACAGCAGCACTATTAGATTGTTGATGAATGAAATAAACAGGATGGCGCTGTTAAAAGAACAACATATAGGATTTTAGGATGCTAGAGCGATATCCTCTTTGTTAGAACAGCATATATGATTGCTATGCTTGGACTTATATGTTGGGTAAATGGTACTCCATCCTGAGTTAAATTTCCATATTTTTACATCGAACACATAAAAGGAAACATGAATTTGTATGGTTGGGATTTATTTTTTAAGGAAACACAAAAAAACACAATATCAACCATTTGAACCAAATGACTATTTCCTTGAGATGAATCACGAAGGACCTTAAAGAGAAAAGATAAGAATAATTTGGGATAATAGGCTGAGGGAGTGCCTGCTACGCCAATTACTAAATAGAAAAGAAGGTTTGTAAACCCACTCCAGAGATAAAATCCACTTCTCTGATATTAATAAGCTCTAACAGGCCCGGATACGGCAAGAAACACATAACTAATGATGCATACTTGGTAACCGCGGTTTAGCTACCTAGAATCGTCACCCTAAAAATAACAATGTGAGTTCTATTAAATGCAGGTGACATAACTCAGAGGCATACACCAAATGATCCTGATATTGCAAGAACCAAAAATACTGGATTACATAATTCAGTAAAGGTCATGTTAACAATAGTGTGGGCTAGTTTTAGGTATTAATGAGTTTATTCCTCATCAAGTAGTACTCTTCGTGCTTTGTATTCCACCACAAATAATTCATAAACAAGATGAATATTTCTTGAAAAAAGAAAAAAAACAGTAGAATTTTCTATCATCATAATGTTTAACAGTTTTTCTGATGTGTGAGATATAGAGCAATTAATATGCTTCTTTTCAATCTTCAAAAAGGGATTTGGTGATTCCAAAAAAAGAATAAAGGTTACCTTAAAATTTGAAATGATTATCACTAAAAGTTATGCATTTATCACAATTCTCAAGTACTTATAACTTAGGATTATTATATACAGACTACTCCGAACAAATCATTTGTTCTATGGCTATAGTTATCATTCTTCTTAACATGAAGTTTAGAGGAAATATGAAGGCTATAGTACCCAGGCTGGCGGCACATTTTGAAGCCGGATGTGGTGAAACCGATGGCAATCTGGCCCTTGGCTCCCGCGTTTTTCACAAAGATCTCGAAATAGTAAACGAGTCTCTTCGACGGAGCGGGCCTATTGGATTGGACGACGCCTACGTCGTGGCCGTGAAGGTTCTCTTTCGGGTAACAAACTGAGAGCTTGTCAGGCCCCACCACCGAGAACCCGCCTGAGCATTTCATGGTGTCTATCTCCGTCGGGATTTCCTCTTTCTCCTCATCATCCTCCTGATCATCCAATCTCTGTACTGCTCCGGTAACCTCCGCGTCGGATTCGAAATTGGCGGCGGCGGCTTTAGAGTTCAGCCGCCATAGTTCTAAGAAGTAGGACTCTATCGTTTCTAGACATTGAGAGTCATTCATTTCTTCAGCCATTTCGGATGATTTAGTAGAGAATGATTCGGGCTTGAACCCTAGAAATTGAGATGAAGATGATGACAGGGGACTCTGTAGCGGCGGCGGAGGAGATGATCGGAAAAGCAATGGGGATTTTCTTGAAGATAGGGAAACAAGCATGTACCCTTACACCTCTCCCAACCATTTTGGCCATTCATACTAAAACAAAGTCTTGATAGATAAGTTAACAAAATTTATACTAACACAAAATGTTGATTCATTAACAAAAATTAACATTATACTAATATAAAATATTGGTACACGAAATTCAATTGATAAAATTGAAATTGAGAATAACAATACCAATTCTAGTGTTTGGTAGCACAAAAATATGTGAATTTGGAAGTGGTACTAACAAAAAATGAACTGAAATTAGAGAATCCAATTCCACCTAAATCAATTCTATAGAATTTCAATTTCCAATTCAATTCCAATTCCGTCATTTCCGTGAACCAAACGGGCTGTTAGAGACTTAGAGTAGAAATAGCTTTATCTAATTCGAAAAATCCAAAACCAAGAGTCACCGTCTTTTTACGATAGTAAATATGGGTTAATAGCATGGTTGCCCCCTGTGGTTTACAAAAAGGTCGTCAAAACCCCTCTATTTTCAAAAGTTATTTGTAAAGTCATTGTGGTTTCTAAATAGAGCGCACATGCCCCTCTTACCTATTTTTAAAGAAAAAATGACATTTATGCCCTTTGTTTTCCCCAATCTTGAATTTTTCCAATTTCAATTTCATTTATTATACAAATATATAAAATAAAATATATACACTTCTCATCTCAAATTAGAATTTTTCATAATGTACTTTTGAAAACAAAAGATTTTTTTGGAGAATGTTACAAAAAAATGAAAAATAAAATATTATGTATAAAGTAAAAAGTAATAATAGTTAAAAAAGGTAATGAAAAAAATAAAAATATAAAAAATAGATTTTTTCTTTAACTCCATGTTTTATTTCATCTTTCTGTTCTTCATTTTTTAAAGTCCTTAAAAAATTATTTTACTTTTAAAAGACAAATAAGTTAGAATTTTTAATTAGAGATAGAGAGAGTATATGTTATCCAATTTTTTATTTTATTTATTTTACTTTTACTTATAATGAAAAGTGTATTTTATTTCATTTTTGTAACATTTACTAAAAAAATTATTTTTTTGAAAATTAAATAAATAAAAAATTTTAATTTGAGAAAGAGGGCGTATATTTTATTTTATTTATTTGTATAACAAAAAATCTAAAGAAAAGAGTGAAATTTGAAGATAGAGAAAAACCAAGGGCAGAAATGTCATTTCATGTGTAAAATAGGCAATAGGGGTTGTTTGTGCACTATTTAAAAACCACAGGAGTTTTACAAATAACTTTTGAAAGTAGAGGGGGTTTTGGCGCTCCTTTTGTAAACCACAGGGGGCAACCATGCTATTATCCCTAGTAAATATTGTGGATAGGATAAGACTAAGTAACCCCTTCAATTAAATACAATCCGTCATGTATAGTCCAATTATTATTTGAAAATATTGTATAGAATTTTTTAAATTAAAACAAACATTATAGATATTTCTTAAGAATTATGAACTGCTTATTTTATTTTGTTACTTTTCGGGAAAAAAAAACTATATGATTTTTAAAATTAACTTTAAAATATTTCGAAGTTGTTGTTTTAATTATTGATTAATTAAAAATAAAATAAATTTCATTATTCTTAAATTTGATGACATGTAATTTTGTATAAATTTTCATTTTTAAGTATTCTACCAATATGTATTTCCCTATTCTAATTTTTAATACCACCTCTGTCCTAGAGTATTTGTCCACTTTCATTTTTACACACAATCCAATACACATCTTTAATCCATTTTATCTTGTAATTTGTATATTAAAAATTATAGAAATTATATATTAAAAATCTATATGTTAAGACAAATCAAACAAGATCACACATGACTATATTTAGGCTTACACATTGAGAGAAGTTGATGAGTCAAAGTGCTTAGATCAACAGTTTCAAAAGTCAAAACTGGACGAATACTCCGGAACAGAGGGAGTATACATTTTTATTTTAAAAAGAAGATTATGTAAGTTTTATTATATTTTTTTAAAAGATAAGTAAAGCTTTATATAAAATTTAAAATATACACCATTTTCATTTTTATTCCTTTTTGAAAAAAAATAATAAATGTGCATCATTATTAACATAACAACTTTTATTATAAAAAATATCATATCTTATTATTAAAAAAGATTTGTATAATGCATACTAATATTTATTAGAAAACTAAATAAAAAATAAATATTTTAATTTAAAATATAATTTTATCTTATGTTACAGAGTAAAAAATATATATAACAATTGTTAGAATAAAGGCACAACGCTAGAGGGGGGTGAATAGCGTATAAAACAAAATCGCAGGAAATTAAAAATGAGAGCGTAAAGGTAAAGAGCGTAAGGAAGGAGCACACCGAATTTTATCCTGGTTCACCACAACGTGTGGCTAATCCAGCCTCCCGAGAGACTCTCTCGAGCTACACTAACTCCGTTAAGCTTAAGGGTGCTTAACAAACCGATACAACTTGAGAACCCGAATCACACGAGCCTCAACACCTTTGCTCGGAGATACCGCACTCCAAGACTTCTCACGAAGGAACAAAGAACTTCCTTCGA